GCTGTTTCCTCCGTTGTGCGGTACACCAGGCCTCGTTTTCATCGCCTGCTCCATCCAAGCCCTCCCAATGAACACAACCACGCATTCCGTTCCGACCTAGCCGGTTGGCTCCCCATGAACACGACGACAGCGCTGTTTCTCCGTTCCGACCCAGCCATGTACGTATGCGCAATAGGCGTTAGGGACCCTGCCCGTATGTACGTATGTGGCTGTATTTTCTTTCTTGCACCCTCGCCACTGTACGTACATGTACATGCTACGTGCGTGTCTCTACTACGACACGTGCGCGCCTCTACATCGACATGTATGTACGTACACGTTCGCGACCAGAATGACAATGCTACGTACGCTTCGACCAGGTGGGTCCTGACTGTCAGGCACTTCCTTGCGTGCGAAGATGTAGCTAGTGGGTCCCATCAGTCAGGGGGGCGAATCGTTTTTTTTGCCCGGACGCACTTCCTTGCGTGCGAAGGTGTAGCTGGTGGGTCCCAGCAGTCAGGGGGGAAGCGTTTTTTCGCGAAATATGGTGGCCCGTCTGGTTGGTCCCCGCTGTCAGGTGGAGGAATAATTATTTTGCACGTAATAAGGAGGCACTTCCTTGCTGCGGCCGTGGACCCAGCTATCAGTCTCTCCACGTACAGTCCACGTCCGATGGAAGCCATTCCTTGACGACGCCGAGAGCACCAGGGCGGTGGACGACGGCGAGGCCTAGGAAGGGGACGACGCGGAGCCGGGGAAGACGCGGCAGTGGATGCCCACGCGTAGAGGAGTACGAGGGTTCACTGGTTCGCTGCGGTGTGAGGCTGCCGTCGCCGCAGAATAACAGGGGGTGTGGGTGAGTAGAGGGATGGCCTGGCCAGCGCTGGGAGTAGTAGGGGGTGGTGAGGCCTCCGCCGCATCGCAGCCGGCCACGGGAGGCAGGAGCACGAGGCACGACCGGCCACGTGATGCTATAGAGTCAGCCAAGTAAGTATCAGAGGCAGCCATTGCCGTTAGGTGTCATGCGCGTATCCTCCCAACGTGGATCCAGTACAGGAATGAGAAAGACAATGCCCAGTTTAACACCTTCCTTGACCATTTATCTGTAAGTAATGTTATTCATCGCAATTAGTAATATTGTGTTGCTCTGTCCCATACTTTCTAGCTTCCTCCTAATAAGACTCACATTCTTTTTTCAACAGATGAGGTTCAAGTTGGATCCGAAAGATGATGCAACTAAACAAGCATGCACTCATGTTTTTCAGTCTGCTCTGTGACAGTATCGGTACCACCTTAGAAAATCTCACTTTGAAGGCAAGGCTAACAACGAAATCGCCCAAACATCTCTAGTGGAATATATTACAGATGAAGACTGGACAACCCTCGTTAAACACTGGTCTGATCCAAAATATCAGGTAGGCTATATGTATTTGATCAGACCACATATTGAACTTGTATTTATGTATGTACCTTAAAAGTGTATCTTCTTCTAGGCTAACTATTTGAAGAACAAAACCAACCGTTCTAAAGTGAAATTCCAACAAACAACAGGATCTCGTAGCTATATTGCACACTGCGAGGCTCTTGTAAATAGCTGCTACTTCCTTCTTTTTTGTGCCATATTATCGTATCTATATTGACTTGTTCCAAATACATCGGAAAGCCCGTGCGGACCAAAAAGAACCTGAACCGAATGCAGTGCAAATCTTCAAGGATTGCCACACCAGCAAGATGAAGGGCATGAGCACACCAATTCAAGCCGCTGTAGTAAGTCCTTACTCCTCCTCCCTTGAACTGATTGGTACTGTGATGTGTTCATTTAACTACTTGGTTTGCAGCCAATGTTAGTTACTCTGTTCACTTTTATACACAGTTGTCTTAACGTATCATTTCACCTTACATGGTTTAAAAGAGATGAAGGATATTCTTTTGGCTTAACGTATCATTTCACCTTACATGGCTTAAAAGAGATGAAGGATATTCTTTTGGTCTTGATCTGTAATCTAGTTGTTATGTTCACGTGCGCACACAATGATAAAATAGCCTGTTTGTTTTATATCTGTTTGCCCATGATATGAATGATGTCATACTATGTTCATCCTACTTTAGACCATGTCTCTTTATCCTTAGATGTCAACGAATGTGAGGAAATAGACAATACAGTAGGCATGCTACATGGACATATGTTCCAAAAGTGATTTTATTATGTAGTTGGCACTACAATACATGCTTATGTATTACAGTAGTTCACCAAAATAAGTTATGTATAAACGTTTAACCTACTCTGTTTGTTTTTGTCTCGCTAGTAACTCACTGGTACACTAATCTACAAGTTCAAACTTTCAGGAAACTATGGAACAAATGATTGAACAGCCACAACCACCTGAAGGTGACGAGGCTACTACAGGCACAATGTCACCTCTTGCTGCAATGCGTTAGTATCTCTCCACTAACAGTGCAAAAAGCACCTTCCTGTGTAATTCTGGGTTGGTTGTCAAGGTAACCTCGTCCAAATCGCCTACTGAACAAAATCTTCCTGCTAGACAGAGTGATATATCTGTGCTCCAGACACAAGTCCAATCCCTAATGGACGTTGTTTCGGAAACAAGAATAGTGGTTGAGAAATGCCGTCAAGATATGAATGGTTTTGAAACCAGACTATCAGACATTCGCTTTGTTGTTGAAGAGCAATGGCAGGAAAAGGTGGAGATCGTGCTGCTCCATCAGATTCTACAGCCTAAAACATTAGCACTCAGGTCAAATGATCTGTGCTTCTATACATCTGATGGTGCTTTTATCTGGAAGGACTGTAAACTTTATGCCAACAAGCCTTTTGTTGTATGATTGGAATTTATTTTGTTGTGATACAACATTTATGATGCTGCCACAGGCTACAGTAATTATGACGCTATTTTTGTATAGTGTAGGTTTATCTTAGTAATGTATTCGGACGAAAGCTTCGTAGGAGCCCAACATGCCAACATTCGTCGGGCCCATTCCAATTGGGCTAAAACGATTATGGGCTGAAATTGTCATGTAGCCCACTAAAAACATCTGGGCTTAAATTAGCATAAGCTTTCAAATTTTTCTGGTAGGCCTGTGCCCATAGTGGGCCTTTAACAGGCCTAAACATAATTTGGGCCCTCAGTAAAAGTAGGCCGTTTACAGGTGTAAATATGTCGAGCCCATAAAAAACATGGGCCTTTAATAGATCGAAAGTGAGATTGGGCCTTGATTGTGCCAAATAAACCACTGGACTTAGCAGGCCAAAATGGTGGCCCATTTACGATGCGGATATTTGACAGGCCGAAATTCGGACGGGCCGTAAATGCGCCAACCTAATACACGGGCCTTTAATAGGCCGGAACTTTGGTCGGGCTAGATTATCGTCATTTTTATATGGGCCGTTAATGGGCCCGATATGACGTTGGGCCACATATGGCCAATGGTTTACGTCCGACGTTAACGGGCCGAAAATGACAACATGCCTAAAGTGGGCCAAATCTATAGTGGGCCTCTAACAGGCCGAATGATAGACATGACCCAAATCCTTCATGGTCGTTAATGGGACAAAAGTTTTGATGGCTTGTAAATGGGCCCAAATGAAGCCGGACCTTTAACAGGCCGGAAATACACCGGGCCGTAATTCGGCCCAATTACTTAGCGGACTGTTAACGGGCCAGAAGTGACCATGGGCTGCACTGATGACAAGTTTAGACCAGGCCGTTGATGAGCCGATTTGACACAGAATGTTGGGCCTTTAGCTGGGTCGGCCCATTATGGTCTGCAGAATCTTGTGGGCCTTTAGCTGGGCCGGCCCATTGTGGTCCACAAAATCTTGTGGGCCTTTAGCTGGGCCGGCCCATTATGGTCTGCTAAATTTGGTGGGCCTTTAGCTGGGCCGGCCCATTATGGTCCGCTAAATCTTATGGGCCTTCGATTGGGCCGGACCATTTAAACTTTGTGGGCCACTTTTGGACCGTTTCACGTGTCAACATATCATAGGCCCATCTCGACCGTTGGATGAGTGACACTTGTGCCAACGCAGATCTGACACGTGGATCCGTAAGCCAATGAGAATTTTACACGTGGAAAATCGGCATTGGTCGTGGCTGTTAACGGGTTATCGGATCCAAAATCCGACCCGATAGCTTAACGGTGTTTCGTTACGGTGGATGCCACGTGTCGGTCACCCTTGACGAAAGCACTTCTGTGATGCGCGATTTATCGTCATGGAAGTGGACACTTCCGTGATGATAATTTTGGTAATGTCATGGAACACTTCTACGACAGCACAGGTATGACTATCTTGATTCTGTCATAAATTTGTCATGGATGTACATGCATGACAAAAAATGCGACCTACTGTGACAAACACGTATCATCACGGAAGTATATTTTTTTGTAGTGGTAGGCACAAAACAAAGGCTAGAAACATCATAAAATTTGGACTCATCAAGTTGGTTTAAAGTTCTAGTCCATCTTGCGTTAGGTCCCTATAGGCATTAGATGTCTGATAGTGATAGTCATACTCTATAGTTCGAATGTTCTTCTTTTGCGGATGTGGTATCTTGACCAAGGCTAGTTTTGTAGAAAGTAGTACTATGATGAGAACTATTGATGATGGGGCCTTCATAATTTAGAGCTTTCATCAAACTATTTCGTAGAAGGACTTGTGACGACAATTATGGAGCAGTGATGCTAACAATGACTGCTCTGTATCATTGTATAGGATGAAATGAGTTGTAGCCCACCATTTGTGAGTAGAGTGGTAGAAAAAATATTCTTGCATGTTGTAACTAATGTAGGAAACATAGTAGAACATGTACAATGTGTAGGTATTAACCATACCTACACATATTATACGTTTTTTCATCTACCTCTTACATATGTCTATATTAATTTAATCGAGGCAACCTTATGTTCAGTGACCACATTACACACCCACACATACATGAACATACAATTATGTAAAAACTATACATGTCTACGAAGCATTGTTTTGTTGAATAATAAATTTGTCAAGATCTGCGGATAAGCTGGATGTGAAAACCATCAGGAAAACGTAGCCCTGGAGAAAGCACCATGGTACCCCCCTTAATCGCTTTCCACCTGCATTATATATAAGTTAACATTTAGAATAAATTATTGATGTAAATGTTTACATATAGGATGGACTATTTCCTTCTAATATAACCTGGACTAATTCTTGCTAAATAGGTTGTGCCTACACTCATAAAGCTTGATCATAAATTTATGTAGTGTAAATCATTTATGGAAATTTAAGAAATATCATGGACATCATATATACTCCCCCCGTTCCACAATGTAGTGCACCCACGCATCCTGAGATCTAAGTTTGATCATAAATTTAGCCAACAAGACCGATTGCGGCGGGTGCAAAAATTATACCACTGAATTCGTATTTCGATACGAATTCAGTGGTATAATTTTTTCTCCCGGCGCAGTTAGTCTCATTGGTTAAATTTACAGTCAAAGTTAGATCTCGGGAAGCGCGGGCACACTCCATTGTGGAATGGAGGGAGTAGTAAGACTTATTTAAATTAACAACCAGAGGAAACAATACTTATATAATATTTTACGAAAAAAGCAATGTAACCATCGCAAATTGAACAAGCCCAATCGTGTTCAACATTGGGCTACACTAGAGGTATCTAATCTTGTTTCAAATCTTACAAATGTCCACCTCACTAGGAATAAGATATAGTTTTATGCAACCAATGTACTTCTGAACTTAAGCTCATTCTTTGGTTTTTGAGCAATTGTTAATCTTATTTGGTTTAAAAAAATCGATTTTACTTTGGCAAGGAAGAGGAACATAGAGACATGTACAACCTTTTTGGTGTGGGGATGGTACTTACAGTTTATAGAAACTTACAATAAAAACAAAAAATCAATTTGGGAGAAAATAGTACCCCTTTTTGTGATCCCAAAAGGGGTCCATAGGAAATTAGATTTTGATCGGTCCCTTTTTCTAGCAAGGAGACTACCACAAAACAGAGTACATTCTTGAAAAATGGGATATTGTCTTATCTGTAGAAAAAGGACCAAGGGTGGCTTACAATCGATAATCTATAGAAAACAAATCTCTTTTATCGAATGCCTCTTTTTTGTTACTGAACTAGGATGATAGCTTCTTCTTTGCAAAAAAAACTTAGATAATTCCTATTAATCTAAAGTTATATATCAATGTGGGGACTCCCAATTTTGGGCTAGGGCAATTGTTACTAAAGACTACTTTTTGGTTACTGGAAAATACTTTTTCTCCCAATTGGACACTTCAATTTACATAATGGTGTGTCACAATTTTTTTGTTGGTAGGATATTTTGGTAGGACGAGATTTCAGTCATCCGGTACCCAACTTTGTAAAATACAATGAGAATAAATTATGTCCAACTTGTGGCTACAGTACCACCAAAAGGTCAGTTTTGAAGGACCTAATCAACCGTAATTTGACTGCTTGTAGCTAATTAATTAACAAGATGTTTGATTATGGTTGTTGGTTTAGAACAGAAAATTATTTGCTTAGTTCGATGCATTCGTATTGTATTAATTGACATGTTCAATGTCACACAAATAATCGTGCAAGATCAATTAAAACCCATTACATAGGTACATCGGAAGGGGGGGGCTATAATTGAATGATAAATTGTCAAAAATAAGGGGTAGGGAAAGAGATAGTGTGTCATAAAGATGAAACCATCCAACACCTCTTGTTTGACTATCATATGGCACACTTTGATTGGGGCCATACACACTACTTCCAATATATTTAGTTGTAGCATTGTTGCGCACATGGTTTGGCACTTGTTAGAGAGCAAAGCATGTGCTACTTCATAGATGTGGTGGGTGGTCGTGGATGGGGCTAGCTACTTGCTAAGCGATTTGGTTATTATCATAACAACGATAGAATTATAGTAAGAAATCATTCCTCATCCCGAGAAGACCTTTAGATGGATTAAATGGAATTAGTAGGAAATCAAATCTTTGTGTGGTAAAGATGAAACCTTTCAACACATCTTATTTGACTACCATATGACACACTTTGTTTGGAGATTGTATACATACTCCTTCCAATATATTTAGTCCAATAATTGTTCTGTATATGCTTTGGCACTTGTTGGAGGGAAAATATGGGCACTTCACATATTTTGGTGACTGGTCGGGGATGAGTGTGCAGGTAGGTACCTTTTGGGAGATTTGGTTATTGCTACAATAATAATAGAATCATTGTAAAACTATGCTTCTTCCTAATAAGATCTTCAGATGGGCTAATCTTCTTTATCTTCCAGCATCATTATAGTAGCTGATGTTGGGTGAAAATGTCTGGGATTATTTTTGGAAGTTCTTTCCTACTAACGCATGGCATTCATATAAAATATTAGGCTATATAAGAAACAATCAACTTTGACCGAGCGAGTCATCACGCTTTTTTATCCTTTACTTTTGTGAGCAGTTGTATTCTATTAGTAGTTTGCTTCCCCCCCCCCCACCTAAATAATCCACTCTTTGTGGGTTGGTCACACTTACATGATGAAGAGGCTAGGAGTTGTTTGGCTATTGGAAAGCACCTTATGGCTGTGTTGTCTATTGTGGAAAAGTAGTTCTGGACTGTCTATAGTGAGAATATTGAAAGTCTTTCTACAAATTGGTGGTGATTACATGACGGTGTAAGCCAAAACGTCAAAGCTAAAAGTACAAAATATATCTTTTGGCCTTGTAAGCTAAAAGTAAAAAAGTAAAAAGACACGAACATGTTTATAGACAAAGGCCACCATAGCGCCTCAGCTTAAACAAGCACTCCGAAAGAATTCCTTTAAGGAAAGACAATTTTCATGGAAATTTTGGAGATTTCTTGTATGTCGACGCTCTGTAACACTTAATTTCTACCACCATGCAAGTCCATTTATGAAATTTCTTTTGAAATAAATATTTGTATGGATTGTTTAGCCTAGTCACCTAAAATTAGAAATATAATTGTATATGTATTCTTTGTAAGAAGGTAAAATTGGTTTTCCGGTCTATTTTAGTCTTACAGGGGATAAATCCAGATGCGTTATGTTTTCCATGTTTTGTACCAACATGGTTTATAGTCTACAATATGTTGTATGACACAGAAAAGTTTGCATTTTAACCATTCACATAGTTTGTTGTACAGCTTGACTTGTGTTTATAGTTTATAAAACTAAACTTTTTATGCTTATTGTCGATGTCAAGGCTGGTATTGTATGATTTATCTAAAGACGAATAAATCACATTATGTATGTAAGCAGTTTCCAAAACTCATTAGCTGCTATGTGGAAAATAAAGACATACCAAAATATATGGTGTTCAGGCCAGAGACAAGTTCATGGTTTGGGAGGATGAATAGTATCATGTGTTACAAAGCCCCAGATTTGTGTTTTTTTCAGAACCCTCATTTCAACGTATTTCGTCTTGAAAATTTACACACTTGTGCACCATGCCTTCATCTATCTCTGTATTTTTTTAGAAGCTTTTGAAATGTAAAAATATATGAATTTTGAATTTTACATTTGGAGGCCTCCATGGAGCTTGGCCACCAAAAGCAATTTCCGGTTCAGGCCATAATTTGTTCCATTTTGTAACTCCTACCTTCATGGCACCTTATTTGCGATCATGGTGTAGAGCTTCATAGTTGTACACATCGCAAGTATTTCTCGTTTAGAAAACAAACACTATTTTATGGTGATATGCATGAATTTTTTCAAAACATTTTGATCATAAATGTTAAAACCTATGACTTGTGAAATTCTTGAAAAGCAATATTGGCCATTGATTTCTTATTTGGGTGCTTATAGAGAAAACATTTTCAAATAAGTTAAATTTTGTCTGGGATGAAGTTAATTATCACATACTGCAAGAATAAACAATGGGCACTTAACATGGAAGACAAAGAGCATTTTGTTTCATAGTTGCACGTGTATTTAGTAACTAAGGAATGGAGGAACATAGCCAGTTGCAACTTAGCAAACTCAGCACCAACACATAATCGCAAACCTCCTCCGAAGGCCATGAAGTCTTTGGAGGCTCCACCAAGTGGCTCGGCGATTTCGTGCATAAATAGAATACTCAATACTATTTGTTGTATTGAAACATAATAATTAACTTATGCATAAATAAATACTCTTCACTAAATGAACTTTCATTGGTTATAATTGTATCAATGGTGAGATACTTTACCATCTTTATGCGTCGGTTCATCTAGTTTTTTTCTTTATAAAGAATTTCTTAAGTTAACTTGACTAGGGCTAGCATCACAACTTCTCCTTCCCCCACTCTCTTTCTCCTTCGTCACATCCTCCCAAGGGAGGAAACGCATTCATCTGATTGGGTACATAAAGGTCTTATAAATTTACACAAGAACTTTTATTACTGGTAAGAATAAATCCATCATAATATTTTAGTTAGTCTGCCATTCTCCTTTTCAACCTTTATGTCATTTTTCCTCCTCCAAAGCATGTGGCCTATGTCTCTCCAAGACCATCGGCATGTCCATTCCCTCATTACCAATGCCGCCATTCTTTAACATGTCTTCTACACACCATAACATTAGTGAGTGCTGACATGGGCATGTCCAACATGATCACCGAGAGCATATGCATACCTAGATAACAATTCAGTAGACACTAAATGTGGGCAAAATTGTATAGTATCAGTGCTAAGGCAGATGCGTGTACGTGAAAACACAAAAGGTCAGCACCACCGCTAAGCTTAGCATCCAACACAAAACTAAGTTTCTTTTTTCAGTTGTGCTTATCCTCCTTAGCATCTATTGGTGATGGTAAGAGATGTTGCTAAATATGTTGGTAGAGAGGGAGAAACCTATTTTTTCCTAAAAGTTTATCTAGTCTAGTGTCTAAGAGCATATACAGCTGGGCCTCCCTAACCCACCTCAAATGGCCGGGCGGACGGCCCGGTCATTGACCGGTCAAAAAATAAACCGACCCAGACGGGCGCCACAAACGGGTCTCAAACGCCCGGGCTGACCGGCACCCCTCATATCCAAACCAAATATGGGGCGGATATGGGGAAGTTTGGGCGCGTCTGCCACGTCGGACTGACGATGGGTCCCACATGAAATCATCCGGAAACCCAACAGTCCGATGGGCGTCTCCGGTTGGGGTGTGAACGCCCCGTGGTGCCGCTCCGACACGTCGCCCAAGGCCAAAATCCGCTATTTAAGTCAGCCTGCGTCCCCAACCCTAGCCACAACCTCTTCCGCCCTCTACGTGCCGCCAACCCGAGCACATTTCTCTCCGTCTCCTTCTTCCTCTTCCCTGGCCGTCCGCCATGGCCCGACAAAAGAAGACGACCTATGCTATGCTCACGCTGGAGCGCTTTTTGAGATTAAGGAGGAGATCCGGGCGAGGCGCGCCTCCCGCATCGCAGCCGGCCTGCCTCTGGACCCGCCGGAGCCGGAGGAGGAGGAAAAGGAGGAGCAGGAGGAGCCGAAGGACGAAGAGGAGCAACAACCGGTTCTGATAGAGGTCGCAAATCTTGAGAAGAACGAGGCGGAGCAGCCGAAGGAGGAGCTGGCGCTGACTGCGGGCTTCAACATGGAGGACGCCGAGGCGGAGTTTGGGGTCAACCAAGCGGCCGAGATGGCAAAGCAGCAGGCCATCCTGGAGTCCATCTATGATAAGGCCTATGTGAAGGCCAACCGACAGTTCATCCGGCAGGAACGGGTGGCTACCAACGTGCTTTTTGCCGAACTCGACGCGGAGGCAGAGGCTGAGGCCGACGCGGAGCAGCCGGAGGAGCCGTAGTTGCGACTGCAGCCCATATACCTGGAGCCGGGCATGGAGATAGTGGACGTCTTCAACGAGGATTAGGGTAGTATAGGTTATTTGTTCTACGTAGTACGTGGATTTCCTTGTTTGCATGCTTTGTATGGATTTAAGGTTTTAAGTATAAAGTATCCGGATGCACAGGAGTAAATTTGAGGTGTGACCAGTCACTGCCTGCGAACACACCCGAACGAAGCGTTTGAGGGCCTGAATTTGCTGCCCGCGGCTGTAGACGCATGGATGCGGGTGCCCTAAATGCTCTTTCCCTCCAAAAGTCATGTATCCCTCCTCCACGTTCTCCATCATGTCCACTCTCCCATCACACAATGCATACCTTTTGTCACCATGTCTTGACCACTGTCGTAACATCCATGTGCGTTTTCACTGGCATGTTCATCATGAGCACTAGGCATCACCTATGTGCACATTTTAAAAAAATGAAGCCTAAGGTCACCCGTAATCTTAAGGTCAACTTTATTTTTCCAACAACGTTTAAGGTTAACCTTAAGCTTTGCCACACAGGCCTTAAGGCCAAGTTTTTGCACATTCTGGCTGCCCTAATCATAATAACTCTAGTGCAGTCTGCACCATTGGCGACACCACCTCCCATCTCGCTCTATCGAACTACTCCAAACTACCTACATATGTCTGCCTGGTCCATCTTAGAGGCCCATATAGATGATCCTACCCAGCTTTAACTATTATTGCAGATTTCACAAAATACCTGAGAAGTGGTGGCATGCATGCAGTACAAGAATGCACCACTATCTTGACATGAATTAGCGAGTATTTAGCATTTTCTAGTTCCACGCCTTTAGATATGTGTGGTTTAATTTAGAGGAAGGACGAGAAAATTCACTTAGGTTCACTAACCTTCCACCTCCAAGGATTGAATATATTGGGATCCTCATAAATAGTAGGATTAAGGTGAACAATGGAAGGACAGACCATGACCTTTGATCCTTTTGGGATAGTGTAAGCTGCACGAACAAAACAATGGAAAGGTTATATTGTCAAATCGACACAACAGGCCGGCTTATAACAGCTATAAAACTCCTCCAAGAAATGAATAGTCATAGAGAATCAACTTATGCTTGGATAGTTATAAGGGCAGTGACAACCCAGCCCACCAATTATTAAACCTCGGGTTTGACGCTTTGATGTCTCATAAAGATAGAGTATTCTTGTGGGAGGCAACATTCTCGTGACTTCGTAAATCTAAAGACCTGCCAGTTCTGTCTCTGGAAGGTGCTCACAGGGGTAAGTGTGCGTGTGTGCGTTTAAAAGAGTGAGTGTATGTACGTGTCTGCGAGCGTTCTGTGCCCGTGTTCTTAAAAACAACCATACCCGTTCATAGGAAAGAACGACTATAAATTATGCACAGTATAAAATATATTTAGAAAATCCTTACACCGATAATTGAGAGCTCCTATAGAGCGGCTTCAGCGCCGCTAAACCCAATTGGCGCCAGCCGGGATTCGAACTCGAGGCAAAGCAGTGTCGTACGCACAGGCTAACCACCGGAGCTACCAGGTTCTACTAACCAATATTACCGCTAAATATTTATCCGAACCCAATGAATCCACGCAGTTTCAAAAAAAAAACAGCTCACGGACAATAACAAGAACTTCACGAATTTGTTTAAAAAAATAAAGGCTCACCTATTCAAAAAAGTTCACTAATTTGAGAAAAAAAATTCACGGTTTTGAAAGTTCATGAAATTTTAAAAAGGTCACTAATTTAAGAAAAGTTCACGAATTTGAAAAAGGTTCACGGATTTGAAAAGTTCATGAAAATCTGGAAAAGGTTCACGAAATACAAAATACTTCAAGAAAATTGAAAAAAGTTCATCGAATTTTAAAAAAAGTTCACCGATTTAGGAAAAAAGTTCACCGAATTTTAGAAAAAGTTGATCGGATTTGAAAAAGTTCATCAAATTTGAAAAATGTTCATCAATTTCCAAAAAAAGTTCATCAAAAAATGGAAAAAGTTCATCGAATGTGAAAAACAGTTCATCAATTTTCAAAAAAGATCATCGAATTTGTAAAAAAAATGTCAAATTTGGAAAAAGTTCATTGGTTTTGAAAATGTTCATCAATTTCCAAAAAAAGTTCAAATAAACGAAAAGTTCACCAATTTTGAAAAAAGTTTATCAAATTTGAAAAATGGTTTATTGATTTTCGAAAAAGTTCATAGAAAAATGTAAAACGGTAATCCATTTTAAGAAGGAAGAAGAGAAAAAAGAAAATAACAGAAAAATAGAAAAAGGTAAAAAGGAACAAAAGAAATGCAAAAGTAAAATATGAAAGAACAAAGGAAACAAAAGTTGTAACTTGTCCGAGTGGGCTGGTTGGCGCGGTGGTTAGTGCAGCATCCATCGATGCAGGAGGTCTCGTGTTCCATTCATCGCGGTAGTCCGGGTCGGCCGCTTGGCGCAAGGAACCAAACCAGTGCAATGACTGAAAACTACCGCAAGCGAGCGTCCAGCTGACAGATTTCAGCTTATGGAGGAGACCCCCCCTAATACCCAATTATCCCTCTCTAAACTGCGCTGTGGGATCCCGTAATATCCAACCAAATAATGCCAAGTCACCCCATAAGGGCATGTATAATGGTGCTATCTTAGGTGTGCCATGTAGGATAAATGATGAGATGGAGGAAAGAGAACTCATAAGAAAAGCCTTGTCTTCTCTTATTTAAGAGAAGACAAGATATGATCTCTTAGCACAATTTGTCTCACCATGTTTTTAGGAATTTCTAGTTATTGAAGATAAGGCTAAGAAATGACCCATTATAGACATTTTCTCTTGTCATATCTAAATTACATGCAAGACTTAAGATAAGGCTATCTTATCAACCATTGTACATGCCCTAAGGCCGTAAGAGAATTCCTTAGATTTCTTCCCCGTAAATGTAGCATAGCTCGGTAAACTGTGTGTGCCCTTTTAATCCACGGATGCGGGGTTCTGTTTTGTCCGAGCAGTCCTCTAAAAAACTTCTCGACGACTCTACTTTTTCTCTTGGGATTGTGGTCTACATGATGATATATGAGAGTATTTCAACTTTGAAATAAGTTAGTGCACAAACTCTGTTCTATGTCTTCTTTACAATTACTTTATAAAGTTCATTTTGAACATAACCATGTGTTTATCATGTTGTAATGATCTGACTAGTAAATAATATCATAGCTATACTGAGCTGCAAGTATTGCATTTTGCACAAAACATTACTACAGTACAATTGTTTTGTGCAAACAAAATCCTAATATCCTCAACCGTCCAAAGAGAATTGAGAACATAGGTTGCATATCATGATTTTCTTTTTTTGGTTCATTGTCTTACTATTAAGAAGCACCCGAGCCTCAATATGCAAAACAAAGACATACTATCTCCTTTCCGGTTGAGAGGGTTTATATCAACTTCTTTGTTTTTCTGATTTAAAAGGGCTCATCTCCATTTCCTATTGAGATTCGACGTATTAAGTCTTTGCATGCAAGAATTAAAAAGGAACGCACTAATTCATGTAATGTTCCGACTCATATAGTGGCCAAGCATACATGCACTGCAATTAATCCAAATTAATGGATTAGTTTAATTTGGGTAGTTTTGTAAAATACGTGATACATTGCTCCACTCATCATCTGCCTTGATTGATGAGATTTTAGATTTGAGCCCTGTCAACCGGAAAGAAGGGAGTACTTCAACTAGAATTTCGTGCATACATAAGCTAGTGAGATCTATTTTTTTATCATTGGAAATAAACATGTATTTTTTGTCGACCACGAACTTTAGAAATGCATCCATTTATACTATATTTTAAATCTAGACTCATCAGCGATGTCAGAGCTATCTAGTCCTCTACACTTGTGGCCGATTGTTTGGTAGTAGCCAACATGGTCTCGTGTATTGTTCATTTGGAAGGGTCTTGTGGTGAAGTCAGAGTTACTTGCTCGGGAAGAGGTGATGTTGATGGCATGGCAGGTGACCTCGACGATGTTTTCTCCTCGGTTATGTGTTTGGTTCTTGCGGGTAGCCAGATCGACCGGTACCCTACTTGTGGGTGTGTTGTAACAGTTTTCGCCAGAGTTTCTGTTAATAACTGAGCAACTCTCTTCTACCTTTTCAATGAATCGGGCCCTAAGGGACAGTGTTTCAAAAAAAAACTCATGAAGTAGTTCCCTTGTGAAGATAGAAGCGAGACGCCAACGCAAGAAATAGAGTGAGGCCACCTATTATGGTTTGGGGCAGCATAACAGGGTGGGAACCCGTCAATATGTTATGCTGAATGTTAGGGTATCACAAAATTTAGATATGATGGAGCTTCACAAAAATATAGTTATATGCAATGAGTAATTGTAATTCTGATTTGAGGTTGCTTCTAAATTAGGACTCTAAAGATGGTTTAAATTTGTATTCCACTACCAAACTGGGAACTTTGATAAGAAAAGGTATGATTCACATTGCCTGTTGGTATATCTTTTTCTTTAGAAAATGAAAGGTTGATTACATCAGTTTGTATCATTTAAGGATACACACAACCAAATTATTATACTCCCTCCACACCATAATGTAGTGCATATAGATTTTTTTGAAAAGTCAAACTTTGCACACTTTGACCAAATTTATAGAGAAAACTATTTATATCTACAATACCAAATATAAAATATTAAACTACATCTTATGATGAATCTAATGATATATGTTTGGCATTATATAGATGTATTTTTTTTTTCTCCACAAACTTGGTCAAAATTTGTGAGGATTGACTTAAAAATATGTTTACACTACATTATGGAACAGGGAGAGTATAAGAACGTAAAAGTCAGCCAATACGGAAACAATGTGGTTATAGATTACATTAAATAAATTATTGTTACCTTTTATGTGAACATCCTCTCTTGCTTTCTTAAATAATAACGGAGCTATATTAGCCAGTCTTAATGACTCATGTATGACCTACAAGCATAACAACAATAAAGCAAATGAGAATTGACATCGATAAAATAGATAAATACAAGTAGTAGTAGAAACAACTTATGTCATTAAGACATTCATAGATCACAGATGTACGTGGTGGACCATTTCTGTACATAACAAAAATTGTGGGTTGTTGTGTACTTTAGATATAAGATCTACGACAGAAACCGCACGCTAATTCTTTGGAAACTAACATTCACTTGTAGATATGTGGTATCACTAGTCCCAAGTATACATACTCTACCACTACTATTTACCTCCTAATAATTGCTTGATCTCATCCCTCGAGTAGTTTGGGGGGAAGAAAACAAATATTAATTACAAGCATAATTATATTATAAATGTGATTTTCTTCCTATGTGCTAAAGTTTCTCTGCATTATATATTGGAGCAAATTACATAACTGCAGTACGTCACGGCATACAATATCTAAGGGAAGACCGTATATGAAGGATGACAAAGCAAGAAATAAATTGATTGGAAATCTTATTTCTCATCGCTTGATTTCTTATGGATATGTAATTTTCCTTCTAATATTCAATGAATACTTATTCATTCTCTATCTCTATTATTTTTCTTCCTTGCGTAAATAACTCTCCTCTACTTGAATAATGCTTAATATATATTTTGTGTATTACCTAATCCTATACTATGGAGATGTGTTGGTTGACATGATGTATGCGGGGCATAACAATAGCTCGCTCTGATGCCGAATTGGAAAAGGTAGGTAACCACAATTAACCATCATAATATGGTTGGAAGGCTCGAACTATGGGATTAGGCAATAGGCCTGGGATAGGGAGAACATGTGATGAAGATATAGATAAAAAACAATTTTCATATTACTTATGAGTGTTCATTAATTTATAGGGAGGACTTGTTTGAACCTAGTTAATCACATATTGATATTGATATTCAATCATTTTCTATATAATACTTATTATTCTCTAAATAAAGTTATATTCAATTATTATTCCATATCCTATATATACCTAAGAGAGTGATCCTCACTGACTTGTTTATCTCAGCATGCAAGCTTGCCACATCACCATATAATTATGGATGAGATACGGCCCACCTCAATATGCAACCATGCATTAGAAAAGACCAACCACCAGATGCAACCATGCATGAAAAAAATCATTTAATATTCTACTTATATCCAATAAATATTTTACAACTATATATAATCAAATTTAATAAGCCGTATGTATTTTAAATTTTAATTCACGTGCTATTAATCCAAATATTTATATTCCGCACAATTAAATCTCATTGAAATATATTGCAACCGATTCCCGCAGCATTGTGTTGGGTATCATCTGGTTTTTTAATATTTAATCTACACATTTATATTGCAAAGTTTGCAAGTACTATATATAAAATATAGGCAAAAAGCTAGCTGGGTGTATGTCATACATATGGAACTAGTTAATCTCAGAAACACTATACGTACACAAGATGTAAATTTCATGGATTTGTATTCCGCCCATGTGATTTCAGCATCAGGACTTGCCCTGCTTTTCCGAATGTTCTCATGTTCGTCCTGCAAGCATCAGTTTTATCTCATAAGTTTCAACAGAATAGATGGATGTCTGCCTAGACGTGTAAGTTATGCATCTCTTATTTACCGAAAATTCATATATCAAAAGTTACTAGAAATCCCTTCGGGAACATCCCATAAAAGTTACTAGAAGAGAACGTCTATATCCACTTTAGTAATACTATACTACCTCCATTCCTAATTATAAGACGTTGGGGCATCTGCATCTTATATTTAGGAATGGAGGTAGTAATAGTTTGTAATACAAAACACTTTTGCACCAAACCAGTTGGGCTCACTTTTGTATCTCGTCCTGGATTTAATAGATAAAGAAAAAGGAAAGATGGCAAGGCCCACTCAAATGTCAGAAAGGCCAAGGCCCACTCAAATATTAGAAAGGCCATGAGCAAGCACGAGTATATGTCAAACTTTTTATATTTGACCATGTTCATAGAAAAAAAATCAACATCAATCAACAATACAAATTGTTCGACATTTTTTCTATATAAGTTTGGTCAAAGAAAAATCCAAAATATGCATGACTTACATTCTGAGATGAAAGGGGTATGATTTTTCGAAAAGTGCAAGCAGCAACCGAGCTCCATAGAGCTCTTTATTTTTCTTTCAATGGAAATACTTTTTCAAACTTCAATTTTTTTTGAAAAAAGTATACACATAGACATATGCTTGTAGTATACATGTGTAAAATTTCATAAACATATATGTTAATATGTGATGTATACAAAAAAGACAAATACATGGAGTAAAATAGGCCTTTTCCTTTTTGTTTTTTAGACTGGTATTTGTCTTTTTTTTTGTAGAATGCAAATAGTCAAATTAGTTGATGAAATGTTATACATATTTGAAGAACATACATATGTATTTATAGAAAAAGATTTGACTTTTTTTAAACTTTTAAATATATTTTGATTTTTTTTTTTTGCAAAACGGGCTCCATGGAGCCCGGCCTCTGCAACGCCATACTCTATGATTTTTGCCGTATATTGGGTTTTCCCTATATATAATATATATCTAAAATATCAATGCACCAGTGTTATTGAAGTGCGCCTCTGTCTTTTCTTACCAGCGAAGAGCAGTAGGAAGATCAAATTCAGTGCAAAATTGTCCCTCATTGCAAGCTTGTCCTCCTTGATAGTGTCGATCAAGAGATCAATAAAATCAACTTTTTCCCGTCGAGAAGGCGCCTTTTTCCTTTCATCGAAAAGTTTACGCAGTATCTTCATGACTTCCTTTCGCCCCTGGGAAAGAACGGAGTTTTGAATTAGCAACTGTGGTAGATGATTCTGAATCTGCAGACATGTTGCTAACAGTAGCTGGGAGCTTATTGCTAATTGTGGATTAGCCTTTAATATGAATTCTACTAAAACCGTGCATATTATTCAGGTTTACCTGCATACACTGGTAGAAGGCTGTCCCAGGAATGTAAAGTGGAAACGCTAGGAGCCCCCGAATGAACGCGTCGAACTGTTTCCACAGCTTCCCGTCTGAGCTTGAGGAGTCGTAGCTGATGAGTCTCTTGGCCGTCACGCTGAATATCATCTGGAAGAGGGTAAAGTTGGGGAGAGTCAGATCGGCTGGGACACAGACAGATAAATTTGCTTATTTAGTTTGAAGACAGTATCGATCGACTGAGTGAGACATGCATACACTGGAGGTCGCCTCCTTGAGCTCGACGCTTGGCAGGTCAAGCCACGAGAGCAGGCTCGCCTGAGCCGTCCTCTGCACGTCCTGGAGCAGGACCAGCCTGAGGTTCTCGGGGCCGAAGATCCGAAGGATGAGGTTCTTGGCGTGCTTGTGGAAGGACCCCATGGATGGGATGATGCTCTCGGCGCCGAAGATCCTCATCACCGACTCCGGCCACCAGTTCTCAAAGAGCCTCTCGTCTTGCTGGAACACCAGGTTGTTCAGCTCCGCGTCGAGGGAGACGACGAGGTCTACACCGATCAAATTCGTCCTGAAAATCGGGCCGTACCTGAAATTTGAACCATTTGTTTCATATATACTCACAGTAATCCATTAAAATAGTTGCAAACGGAGTTATACGGTTCATGCTCTGTTTGCGTCACGATTTTATTGTACTCTACAATCCTGTTTGGAAGATTACCTTTCAAGGCGTCGCTTGAAGAACGGGTGCAGCTCCAGAGATGGGCTCCCGGCGAAGAACTGGAGGGTCTCCCCGAGGACGGGGAGACCCCTAGACCCCGGCGGCAGCCTCCCTTTTGCCGTGATTGAGCTACCGCAGTACCATCTGAATAACAAAAGGATTAATAACGAAGCTAACACCGCAGCCGCTCCCAGGAGAACGGAGCCAGGCATGGGCGAAGCCCATCGGTCACTACCCTCCATTTGCTGCTCTGCTTGCAATATGCTAGATAGTTTTCCTCATGTCGTATATATAGACGCGATTGTACCACAACTGCCGATTTTTGCTGCGCCTCTGAAGTTAGGTAACGAAGCAGGCATATTTGAAAATATCTTACACCTCTGAAAGTTAAAATATTTTACATATAGTATCTTTTTTACGGGGTTTGGTAAAGATTGTTTTTTTTTTTGCGGGAGTCGGTAAAGATAATTAGCTAGCTTAAGAAAGCAAATATAATTAGGTAAACAAAAATTGGAATGGTATAAGCCCTGTGCTTTTTTGCAATAAATAAGAAGAGACTATCTGTATTTTTTTCCTGATTACCCTGCCAAACCCGGGGAAAAGTATTATACAGAGCCTTAGCACTTCTCATAATCCTTGTAATAGTTTATTCAAGTTGTATTCGTATCCCCCGACGTAGCACTGGAACTGGTGCTCGCATTTATTCCTGGATTTATTTCAGGATTTCCTGCGATGCGCATTCAGTGGAAGGAGACGTTCCCGTCGACGACGAGGCGCCTATGATAACTTCGTAAATCTCAAGATGATATGCCGGCTCAGTCTTTCGGATGTGCTCATAGGGGTAGGGTGTGCGTGTGTGCTTTCATAGGGATGAGTGTATGCGCGTGTATATGAGTGCTTGTGTCTGTACTGATGTTCAAACAAAAAAAACATTTTCTTTGCCTTGTTTTCGCCTTAAAACAAGTGTAAATTGTTGGCCGCTCGGCTTATATCAGTGTAAACCAAGTGTATTTTTTGCCTGGATTATCATTTGACTGCATCGCTCCGGGAAAAGTATTCTACATGGCATTAGTACTTATTCTGACCCTCGTAGTAGTTTATTTGGGTCGTACTCTTATCCCTGGACGTAGCACTAGGGAACCCGTGGCTGGAGAGAATCTCGTGACTGCTTGTCTGAAATAACTATCCTCACTAAATCATTTTTTTATGTACTAGTAAGCATACACGTGCAATGCACATCTAAAACGTTGATGAAGTGAGTTCACATATTATAAAGTTAAAATAATTCTTGCAAGAAAATATAAATGAAATGGATACAAAATAGCATGTCACCCAAATTGTATTTTGAAAAGTGAGGCACAACCAAATGAAGAATCAAGTTTCTTGTCTCGATCACCGAGCTTTTTTGAACAAACTCATTTTCGAGATGAATTTACACATGATCAACATGTTAGTTCTGGGCACATGCAAGCAAAAAATTTGAAGTTATGCAACACTGCTTAACTTTACCAATGACTATTCAATACTTGATCATTTTCTCCTCTGTACAAGTATGGTATTTTCTCAAGTGCGCATGGTAATCTGACTTGGAAGTATAGATGTAGCAATATCAAATAAAATTGACTGGTTAGGCATTTAGTGTAGTCTTTACTTCTAGTGTATTCAGGAAAAGGAAAATGCACAATTGCTCTGCTAAGGGTGCCTGCCTACTTCTCGAGTCTTCTTTTTCTTATACAAAAGCCAATTTTCCATCTACGCATATATATAATTTGTCAGCACGTGACAAAGAGAGGTTAAATGGATTTTTGTTTTATGGACCAGCATTTTGTACTAATTCAGATCAACATAAAATAGCCTCCTATTATGTATAATAGGAAATAGAAGATTATCTGTGACTACAACGACTTCGGAGAAAATTGAAGATGCTTTACAATAATGTACTGAAATGTAGAAGAGTTAAAATATAAAATTAGATATAAGTTTAAAATGGGACTGAGTGTATTCCATATGATATAGAACAACAGTTATGCCTAAATTGCAGTTATTTGTGCAACCTCTGGTGTTCATACAATGATGTTTCACATATTATGGCTAGAAACTATCACCTTCCATAGTTGGTGTGTATCTTAGTTGGGTGACAGCAGATTTTCTGGTGGTCATTTCCGAATCTTGTAATCCTTTCAGAAAGAATGCATTATACGTATGAGCGGTTTATTGGTGCATCATAATGGGCGGACTAGAAAAAATGGACTTACCTGGCAATATGTCTGCTTATGTATTAGATGGAGTTTCCTCTCCATTGTGAAGTGCAGACGTAGCTTACTTATGATTTTGGGCTTCATGACTCCTTTTTAATATCTCATCTCTGTTTAATGCATATCTTTCCTTTGTCTCTTTAGTTATTTTGGAGCTGTCCTTTCTCATGCAGCCAAACATCTTTAGTATTTTCATCCATGATGTAGGCAAGAGTTGGTGATATATTTACCTGAATTGGTGTTGTTTGTTAGGTCCTAAAATCACGTCGGTAACCCCTTACTTTGAGAGGATGTCATATGCAACAATTAACGCAAACCAAAAACTTTCTGGGACATTAATGAATACAAAAGCGGTGCTAAGATGCTTTATAATTTACATTCATCCGCCTACATGAATCTTCTCCTAGCATGTTATCGGTTTGTGAGAACAATCAGACCCAAAGAACAATGCAACATCAATGGCTCAATTTACATTTACAAAGGGCAAAGGTTTCGGTAATCATCAGGGAATATCTGTTTCACACTCAATTGAAAACCAATTGGCATTCATTCACTATCCGCCGACGCGCCCGGGTGCATCCGCGGACGTTTAGAGGCCCGGATTAGCTAGGTCCGGCGGTAGATGCTCTAACAACATGCACTTATCGTCAATTATTTGAAATGACTTTTTTATGGTATTTGAAATACATTTTGATTCGTCTAACGGCTGGATCGTATCTTTCTATCCTTCCGAATCATCTGAATATTATGTTTAGATGTTAATGGTTACTCTGGTTTTGGACACATCTACGAACACAGAAGGTGATGTTTCCTGCTGATCAGACATATAAAGAATTGCCAGCACGTGTGTACAAGGCGACGCGCATGGGGCATGGCAAGTTTCGATTGACTTATCATTTGGTTGAAATAAGCTTCATCACAGATGATCTCATTTTGATTTTCCGATTATTTCTACTTCCTTTGCTTGAAATAAGTATCCTCACGACTGATCTCTTTTGGATGTATGTACGTGAAATCAACTCAATGCAGGTTACGGATACACCCAAACACGTTCACGGCTGGCCACGGGATACCCAATAATATCTTTTTATGGAAACTGTTCGCACATGAAAATGTGTGCCTCCAGGTGTCGAGGCCGAGAGTGCAATACGCAAGATACGTCGACGAGATCTCTTGAAGATACGGAACCCCACGCTTATAAGAGTATCTCTAGTAGACCCCGCATCCCGCCGACCCGCAAAGGGCGTTTGCAGTTCACGGAAAGACGGGTTTGCAGGCCGGCGCGAACTGCCGCAGAGGCAGACCCCGCAAAGCCGACTGGTAAAAAAGTATCTTCCGTGAATATCCTCTTTTACGGGTCGGCTTTGCGGGGTCTGGTCTTGCACCGCTCCCCCCAACCTGCGAATATCCTCTTTGAACCTATGAGCTCGAGTTGGCCTCGAGGTGTCTATCCAACCTTCTTTTTTGACTCTTGCTTTGGTTCTATAGGTTGTCTATGATCTTGGATTGAGATGACTCGAAAAAAAGTTTGTTTCGACGAAGCACACAACTTTCATGTTGAATCCTTTTCCATTTTGAAGTCATTTTGAGGGTGATTCCGTGTAAGTCAGAATTCTATGCCAATCACAATTCTTAACTTTTTGTCTAAGTTTCAGTTCAAGCTATCCTCATATTATTCATTCCAACCTTTTCAAAGAGGGTTATCCAACGGTTGTCTAAAAAATTTGCAGGGGCATGCAGGTACGGGACCACACAGCTGCACGACCACATGATTGTTACATGATCCGCAAACTCGTGAGATTCCCGACATGCTTTAATTTTTATTTTATGAAACTTGGTAATTTCATTGTCTATTCCTTCTAAGTTTTAGCAGGTGAAACTTAGCAAAGTTTTAAAACCTCATCAAAATGTTTTCAAAATGAGTCTTATTTTCAAAGCCCTCTTCACAATAAACACGAATGTGCCAATGAAACTTAATTTGGATTTTGGGTTCAAAAGATACAAAAATATATATATGCGAAAGCCAAAAGAAAAATGGGGTCAGTGCCCGTGCCCCTGCGTGCCACAAATCCCCTCCCATGATTGACTCAAGTTTTCAATTTGATTTCGTCTTCCTATAGGCTCAAACTATTCTATAAGATCTTTCCTATTTTGTTCCTCGACACTGGTCAACTTCAGCAGATTCATATCCGCGGCAGTTACATGCACGTAACTAATTCTTTTTATATCTCCTGATTAATCGGCGCATGCAGTTTGCATTCATGCAAACAAGGAGGCTTACTTGGTTATTTTATTTCTTCCTGATTAAGTTATTGGGTTGATCCTTCATTATTTCTATCTATCGCAAGACCATTTGGTGTACCGTGGTATGGAGGCATCAAGGATCACCTTGCGCCGTGATCTGGCAAATCAGTAACCAAGGGCAGATCTAGGGGGTGCCGTGGGTGCCATGACACCCCCTATAAAAATGAAAAATAGTTTAACATGGTACATTTAATTTTTTGTTGAACTATTTGTTGAATTTACTATGACGTTTAGGCACAATCGTACTACTTTTGCGTATTTTTTCTAAAACTTTTAACCATGTATTGATGTTTGGCACCCGGGCCCCAGCAATTAGACCCTAGGTCTGTCATTGTCGGTAATGAGTACCGGCACACGCACATGGAGTCTTAGAGCATCTTCAGCCGTTGGCACCCCAAGAACACCACCGAACCAAAAAAATTGGTGTCTTGAGAGCCATCCGGCGAAATTCGGCGAAATAAAAAGGGCATCTTTCCAGTCACACCCCACCCTAAGCAAAAGTTTATGAGAAGAATGATTAAGTGGGCCAAGAAAAAGGATATGTGGTGAGACACGATCCGCCGAAACTTTCGCCGGCGCCCCCAAGAGCCCCCCAGCGCGCCAGGTTTCGCCTGGGTTTGCTGGCGCTATTTTGACGTCCTGTGGGGTGCTGGGGGCGTGGCTGGGCCGTTTAATGCG